GGAGGGGGAGGAGGAGGGGGGGAGGAGGAGGAGAATGAAGAAGAAGAAAAGCAGGAGCATGCCACAGAAGGTAATGGTAATTTGGTGGGACAAACAAATTCAGCTCTTACACAACATAGAACTATTTGGTTGGAGTGACAGGGCTCAGAAAGGCAATCATTTCAAAGCAAAGAACCTTTGTTGAGAGTCCAGTGCTTGGCATGGTGAAGGGGCTGACAGAAATATGAATAGCATAGTTTTTCACTTCAAGTTCAACATCTGCTGGGAAAGACGGACCTAACCATTGCTAACTCCTGTGAACCCCACTGAGTAAGGCTATACAGTCCTCTCCCACTCCCTCTACTCATGCCCAAGAAATTTATCCCCCATGCAGCTACCATGTGTGTGTGTGTGTGTGTGATACAAAAATGTATATCTTCCCTCTACATTGCTTAATAATAAGTTCTACAGCAATAATACTCTCATTGCTAATAAGGACAACTAGCTTTTGTTCAGTGATTTAATGTTTACAAATTACCATTCCACTCAATGTGCCTTAAAACTGCAGAATCAGAGATGTTTAAACAGGTAATATTTTTCAGCTGAAAGTATTTATGTTCAATTTTCTACAACCTGCAGATTTGAGAAATTACCTTTTTTCAAATATTGTAAAGAGAAGCCCTCGCAGGCCACTTTCAACCATGCCAAATTGCATGCTGATGCCCTTCAAGTATTAAGAAGAGCAAGCAAAACATTTCAACTATTTTGACTATGTGAACCAAACCAGTGGGGAAGGCACATGACTCTGCAGAAACAAAGAACATTATTCAGCAAAAAAAAAAGAGACATGCATTCTGAATAAGGCTATAAAATAATTTTTTTCTTAGAGCATATTTTTAGATCATTGAACTGCAAGAATGCTTATTTCTTTCTGAAACAAATTGATTACCAAGAATTACTGAACCCCTGTTAAAAAACAGCAACTAAACTACATTCCTTGTCTGATAAGCATTAAAGAAAATTATATCCCTCACAGCCACAAAAGTATGTGCTATGTAATTCTCAGATACATCGAGATTGTAAATCATATCAAAGCTAATTATTTCATTGAGCTCGGTTTTTTCTTGGTACACCAGATATTTTTATTTCATCTTTAATTCATGGGTTCAGGAAGCCATTGGCCAGTCAAGGTGGAAATGCACAAAGAGCTGCTGTCCGCGGTGCTGAAGCTATGTGGTTGCTGGCCATGGTGCTGAACTTCTGTGGCCGCTGTCCATCTATCTGTGGTGCTGAATCCTGTGACCTCTGTCTGTGGTGTTGAGCTTCACATCATCGGATGTTAGGGTCTGGTAGTGTGTGGTTATCCTGGAAGTAACAGGCCCAGAGTCAGGATGTAGAGCCTTGTTTTAGCTTTGTCACTATGACTGGTTGTGTGATCGGGGACAAATTACTCATGTGCTCTCTCTTATTCTCGATTTCTTCAGAATGTAAAATAAGCAAGTCAAGAAGTGGATCTTTTGCTCCAACATCTGATGAGCTGGTAACTTAATATTACCTGACTATTTGAAAATATTCCAGGATTTCCAATTTGATTCCATGAAATATCATTAAGGGTCACCTCTCATATTCTATACTATAGACTGTACTAGGCTCTAAAATACAATGGTGTCTGAGTTTGAAACTTTTGAAATGAACACAACAACACTGGCTTTTGTGAGACAAGGTAATAATGATGGGGTGACTTATTGGTGATGTAATCAAACCTGTAAGACTACAGCTGTGGCTATGGCAAGAACCTATAACTCCTCATGTCTTCTTTCTTTATTCTTTCTGCTTTGTTACAAAACCTACTTCTAGCAAGAAGGAATGTGTCAGACAGAGCCTAAGATGGTCCCCAATTATCCCAAACTTGAGTAATCTCTGCTCAGGTGTGACAGGGCCTGTGATTTGCTCCTGACCAACATGACATAACAGAGGTGAGGGGACATCATTATATAAATCTGAACATATTTCTTGCTTGCATATTTCCCCTGGCTGACCTGGATGATGCTGGAAGATACATTAGAGATGTCCATATGGCAAGGAATTGAGGGCAGCCTCCAGCCAACAACCAGATAGGGACTGCAGTCAACCTCTTGCATCCAACATCCCCAGTGCCATGGGCCACAAGGACCTGAATTCTACCAACAACCATGTGAACTTGGAAGGGGATCCATCAGAGCTTGAGGTGAGGTGAGACATCAGCTGACACTCTGATTTCAGCTCTCATATGTGGCTGGAGACCAAGGATCCAGCAAAGCTGCATCCCCATTAACAAATTTTGAAACCACTAAATTTGTGATAATTTGTTAGATAATAAATAAGTTACATGATGGGCATGGCTGTTAAAATCCCCAGACCCTCATCTCAGGCTTTGGGACCTAATGAAGAGATCTGTTGCCCAGCTTGCATGGGTGCCCACCTACTAACCACTGAGGCAGGCGGGTGGGAATCAGCAACCCCTGTTCTAGCTAATTGAATTGGAGAAAATATTTCCCAGACTAATAGAAAGTACAATTATGGGCAGGAAAAGCAGCAGGTGCTCATTGCAAATAAGAGAACAAAGTAAACATGTTCCTTGCTCATAGTTTGGAGGTAGATGCAGATAAGTGAGTTGCTTATTAAAATTCAATCATTTATGTGCTACAGTAAGGAGGTACAGGTCAATGAGGACCTTTAACACAGACTTGAGAATCGGGTCTCAAAAACCAAGCAGGAGAAATACAGGTAAACATGGGACAGCTAAGAAATGTCTCAGACACAGGGGATAGGATGTGGGAAAGCCCAGGGACTAAGAGAAGGAATGAGGTATTTGGTGGACTTCAAATATTTGTATTACAGTCAGATCACAGCATGGAGCATGTGGAGAAGCGCCAAGAGGGAGGCTGAAGAAATTTGTCAGACCTGGGACATAAAAGACCTTGTATTAGTCAGGATTCCTAATGACAAATGACACACTCCTGTTAGCTCACAGGGTTAGGACACATGCAGTTGGAAACTATGAAGCCCTGACTGATGATGATCACACCCAAACATCATGGTGGCCACACCCACCACTGGGCACCAATAATCCCAAGCTGAATTCCAGAAACTACCCCAGAAAAGAACAGATTTCTCTGCTTTCATGCCTGACAGAAGATTACCCCTGGGCTATGATCGGGCCTGCTTCCACTCAGCATGTCTGCACCCGGTTCTCCCAGAAGCAATCTGATTAGAAAAACCCAAGTGACATGCTGCATCCTAACTGCAAGGAGACTGGGAAATGTTATGGCTGCTGCTTTTCATTCTACTACGGGAATGTGGGAATCATATGTGGAAACTGTCAAGGTCTAGAGAGGTTGTTCAAAAGACATTAGACATCTATGAGTGACAGCTGTCCATAGCAGACCTCCCCCATCAAGGATTTTACTTTTCTCTTGGGGGATGCCATTGAAGGGTTTTAGGTATGGAGTTGCACAGTTCCTTTAGGAGTTTAGGAAGTTCACTTGGCCCACAGGGTGGATGATGGACTACTGGAGGCCAGGAAGCCAGGTGGGAGCCTGTTCAGGTATTCAGAGGAGGAGGTATGAAATAAAGTTGGGACAATGGGAATGAAAAGAAGAATATGTCTGAGAAGATCCTAGAAGACACATAAAGGAGTACATTCTCTTAAGGACAGGGAAATACTCAATAAATACCTCTTCCCTTCCATGGCCCATCTTAATAATTCTTGGAAACCTGGATTTTTAATGGTATTTTCCCAAAGAAAGGCTACAGTGCTGGGATAAATGGGGGAACCATATTATTGCTCTGACAAGTGGCTTTCAACTATCTATTGAACATGGAATCATTCTTCAAGTAAAATCAAACACAAAGCTGAAGAAGACGGGTACTCAAATGGGTGTGAGAGCTTTGGGTTCATAATTCTGTGCTCCCTTTCCCTCCAAAAGGTGATCCCTGAGAAACTCTGAAGACCCCTGGGGCTGCATGGTGCACGGTTGAGAAGTACCCCTTGAAAGTTCCCTGAGAGTCCACCAAACAGCTTACACAAAACCTGATTGGCAACAGAAATGTTCTGAAGTTGCAGTGTCTGCTGCTATCGGTGTCAAGAGGATCCACAGGGGAGACAGGAGAAGGGAGATTGAAGTTTCCAGAGATGGAGTCCTGGGAGACGTGCGGGGGGTTAAGCTTCTGAGGATAAACAGGTAAGCTGGAGACAGGGGGCTGGCAGTGCACCTGCTGGCACTAGGTGGGTGGCGTGGTGAGTGAATACTGCGATGTCGATGTGATCCCTGTCTCCTAGTATTCACATTTTTGCAAAATTTCCTTATCTCAATGTGATCAGGATCTTGCTTTTTTTGCAATAAAACACAGCAATGGTCATGGGATGTCACTTTGGAGATGAGGTTTTGCTAGATTATAGTTCCACATTATAGTGGGTTCTTCTTTATTGAATTCTTAAATTGCATACTTTGATGAAGCAAGATGATGGTGAGGCCCATGTGGCACTGAACTGAGGGTGAGCCTTGGACAAAAGTCAGCTAGGAAGTGAGGCACTAGGTCAGTATCCCTCAAGGAACCAAATTGTGCTGACAACATCTCAAGACAAAGCTTGGGGTGAGTTTTTCCCCACTGAGCCTTCAGGTGAGACCCCAGCCCTGGCTGATGTATTGGTTTCAGCCTTCAGAGAGATTCTGAGCAGAAGATACAACCAAGCTGTGCCTGTACTTCTGACCCACAATAATAAATGTGAGATAATAAATGTGTGTTTGCTCTAAGTCACTACATATTGTGGTCATTTGTCACACAGCAAAAGGTAACAGATACAGCAGCATTGGGCATAATATTAACACCTCTCTGCTCCTGATCTTTCTTCTTTTTAAGTGAGCATCACATGAGACCACCTTTCAGGTTTGGCCAGGGGGTTAAATAAGAGGTGGCATGGAATGACAGCATTCTGCAAGCCTGATGGCAGGTGTCCAATCAATGGTTGACACTGATGTCAGCACCACCACTCACAACAACCCTGCAGAAAGGAGAAACAACTTCCAATAGATTTTTACAAGCGGTGCATGCTTTGACACCTACAGGAAGAATCAATATGGCCCCATGAACCTCTCCTAGAAATTTAGCTCCAGAATCAGAGCATTAAGAAATTTCTAGATGCTCTAAAGCCCTTGGCTGGCTCCGACCGCACAGGCTTGCTAATCACATTGCACCAAAGAAATCCCTGGGTCCTGCACTGTGTGGTTGGATTTGTGGTACATATTAATTAGTCTATGTTATGTCAGGAGAGAGAAGGGCAATGTTGTGCCAGAGGTTTTAAGACAAGCATTCCCAAGTAAATATTTCAAAAGGTATTGCATTTTTTGATCACTTCTCCATCATACTTAATTCCCAGTGCACATTCCAACCTTTGAATACCAGTCACTCTCCAGTTACAAAGTGAACAGGATAAACTTAGACTCTATGCTTCTTTGCCAGGAAAGCTCAGCTGATGTGACAGATTTTAAGTCCGTGGGGCAGATTCTGCTGTATTTGTGTTTTCTTCCTTTTGTTCTGCCTTCCCCTGAGGAGTATTAACTCAGAGTCGCCACCGGGGACCCAGCACTGCCTGCTGCTTTCTAAACTACCACTTGCATCTTGCTCTTTTATAACTTCTCTAGCCATTTGATTAAGTGCTAAGTGTGCATACATGCACATCACAGATGCTCTCCACTTCTAAAATGGCAACCCCTGGATGGGGAATTGGAGAAACCATAAACACATTTTCATTTCCACTGATTTTGCCTTTGTCTGCCTTTCTCAGTCTACTCAAGCCGGTAGTAGAACTTTGCTTTAGAGCAATAAAAGCTGCTAAGAAGTGCAGTTAGTGAAGGATCTCGGGAGGACTTACAAAGACAGATGTGGGTTGGAAGCTAATGGACAGGTACCCTTCAGACCTGCACTTTCAATAATCTCTGAAAAGGTGATGGATCCCGACGATGTAACAAGGCTGCTGATAGTTAAAACTCAATACTTTAGAAGAAACAGAGAAGAGGTTGAAGAACATTATTTTCCTTCGTCCAAATGTAGGTGTGGTGAAGAAGTGTGGTCAGTGGGTAAACTGTGAATCACATTAGTTTAACACAGAAGGCAGAGGCCAGTCCTTCAGCCAGAGCTTATTTGTTATTCTGAAAAGTGAGAAATTATATCTTGAAATCCATTCGTTTCTACTTACTGATGTAACAGAAGGTGCTGTGCTGTGCTAGGAAAAGCCTCTGGCGAGGCTGATGTAAATACATTTTGCTTTGATTATTAAATTGATGGTTTGTTACCATTTGGAGTGTTCATCAAGTTAAGTTTAGATTTTTGAAGATTAGAAGTAAGACTTGGGCTTTGAAGGATCACTGCTTTTTCATCTGTAAAATGGGGATAATGGTACCCTTAAGTTTAGATGAATATAATATACAGGAGAGTGCTTGGCACAGGTAGACACTGGAGGGATGCTGGTGTTGATGATAACGATGACGGTGATGACGATGAAGAAATCACACAGTGTCAGGGGTTCAATATTGTGAGGACCAGCTTTCTTTTCTCAATAAAACATCTTTGGAAATTTTCCTAGGTGGGTTATTCACATAGTCACCCAGCAATTCAGTACTGCTGTCAGAATTTACTACTGTCCCCACAGCCACCCAAAGCCCTTCCCTCCTCATTGTTCCCTTAGAAGAGCCTTGTGCAGGATCCTGAAGCCGGCTCAGTCTCACGCAGACCTACCAACGTGCACACTGGCCTCCAGTGGATTTGTGGGAATAAACAAAAGTCTTAGTGAATATCTTGGTTGGAGAGACAATGTGGGAAACGTCTACTTCCTTGGGCTCCAGAGACTCCTTCCTTCCATGTGACCAAGGAGACAGTAGAAGGTTCACTTCAACAGGAGCAGAGGCAGGGCTGGCTGGGAGTGCGGTGCAGCAGGCAGGTTTGGGAAATTGGTTTTTGGTTGTACTTCAGCTGTGTGGCACACTGTCTCTTCGTTCCTGTGACTTTCCTGTCGTTGGAGAATCTGTCAGCTCTTAGAGCAATTAGCATATGGATAATTGAGACTAAGAAGGAGAAGGAGGGACTTCTCCAAGCTTCACATTTTTAGCAATTTAATGGAAATGTCTATTTTATGGGACAATCTCTTCTAGCAGAACTAAATTACTACATTAATATTAATCTTTGGACTACAGCAAAGTGTGCTTGAGTATACATGGAATAATTAGTTTAAGAGTGTTTTCCAATTTTACCTTGGGAGCCCAAACTCTGCATGCTAGCACTGGAATTATAAATAAAATATCTAAGAATCATTTTATTATAGTTAACTAGGGACACAGCTATTATTACCATGCCCCTTACCCTGTGAGTCATCATTAAAAAAAAAAAGAAAATCAAGAATCAACTCTCATTTGAGAATTCAATCGTGCCTGAGCTATGGCTACGGGACATGGTGAAGGAAAGCCAAGATTGAGGTTTGTGTGTCCTGCCTGGCATAGGGGGGCCCGGGAGGGAGAAGCTGGAGATGAGGCCTCAGTTTTGAGATTCAGACTCTCTCTGTTACAGACAGCAGCAGGAATAAAAGATAACAGCATAATGAGCCTAAGGTATCTCTGAGAAGGCATAGAATATTTGCAGAATTTTTCATGATGTTTATTTTGTGTCTCACCAGGTGGAAGAATTCCCTGGAATCCTTTGTGGTCTTTTAAAATTCTAAACAAACACAGAGAAACCACCAAGATTTTCTCCTAGATGGAGAGCAAGCTTAACGTGGTTCAAATAGGTTTTGAGCATGTTTAAGTGCCAGAGAACAGATGCTTTAGGGCCCCAATACCTGCACGCTTCTGGAGGTGGTGGAGCTCTTGGGTGTCATCTCTCAGCTGGGGAATCCTGCCAATGGTAGCCGACAGCTAGACACCTGATTATCTGTCACCTGAACACAAAAGCAGCACAAGAAAAATGGGAAATGTAAAGATAGAAAATGATTTTGTTGCTGCTGTCCTTTTACTTTGATAGGGAAAGGGAGAAAAATCTCAAAGGTATGAGGGCTTTGGAAGTCACCATGGTATGGATGGGACCAGGCCAGTTAGGAACAGCCATCCTTGGTACAAAGACACTAAGAACAGAGTTTAATCAATTTGGCCTTTGCTGATGCTACTCATAAAAGGATGCTCTCCTTTTCTGGTTTGGAAAGCTCTGCTTTGGTACGCAGGCTGTGTATGGCTGCTTGAGAGTGTTTTCTTTTGTTTCCATCACCCCGTGGAGTTGGCAAGACAGTCTAAGATGGGAAAAATGAATCTGCTTGTATCCAATCTGGCTGAGAAAAAGATAGTGAAATGGTTACAGACTTCTTTCCCTTCAAAGAAACCATTTTTATTTTAGAAAGCAAATTTCTGGCAGTAGCATTGCATGGTGTCATTGTGTCGCTGGGCAGATGCGCCTGCCTTCGAGCATCTCGCCCTGCCTTTGGACTCCACCAGGTACTCTTCACATTCTAGTCAAGCTGGCTAGGACCTAGGTGGCCAGTTCTTCGAAGGCAGGTACTCGGTCAAGTTCAGGGTTGGGCAGAGAACCTGCTGGATTCCAACAGAAGCCCAGTGAAACTAATTTTGCGGATACCAAATCTAATCCCTTGCAAACTCACAGAATATCATGGGAACCACCTGCACAATGGTAGCCCAGAGATGATGCTCAGAGTTGTTCATCAATGAGCTTGCACATGAGTGCCTCCTTCCAGCAAGAGAGGCTTGGGTGGGGAGAGATTTGCAGCAGATGTTCACCCTTGAGATTGCCTGGATTTGCACAACATCTATCTTCTCGTATTAAACAGGCAGAGAAAGCCCCTGCTCTCCTCAATAGGCATCAGTGCCAGCAATGAGAAGCTGTACACCTGAGAACCTACTGAGGCTGCTCTCTAGGTGGACTATCTATCTATATTTATGACTGTTGTATCTGTCGGAAAGCAAAGAAATTTGAATAATTGTCATTAACTTCTGAACTCACATAATCACAAAGAAAATTTATAGATATCTTGAGCCCTTTCCAGCATTACTGCTTTCCAAGTTTTTGCTTGAATACCATACATGATGAGGAACTCACTATCTACCAAAGCAGCCCATTTGGTATTTAGACTTATCTGAGTCAGGGGTGGGCAAATTGTTTCTGCACAGGACTGGACAGCAGATACTTCAGGTTTAGTGGGTCTTGCTATCTCTGTAGCAGCCACTCCATGCTCTGGTAGCATGCAGGTACCATAAACAATATAGAATGAATGGGCAGTTGTACACCCATAAAACTCTATTTACAAAATAGTCAGTGAGCTGTAGTTGCTCACTACTGCTCTAAGTGCTAAAGTGTTCTTCCTTGTTCTGGAAAAAATAAAAATAAAAAGCAACTGTGTCCCTGGAAGCAAAGTTCAGTGTTTTGGAGGCCCACATAAGAGCTAGTCAAATGCTCTCCTACAAGAAATCCCCATCAGCTAATCGAAGCTGACGACACTCTTCCAACTCATCTCTCGTGTCTCACCCAGTTACCTCGGCTGTGGTCCTGTCCTAATTTCAAGTCTTTCTACGCCTCTCTTTAATTTTTGACAACCTCTTCAATGTGGGTGTGGCAGAGAAGGCTCCTGACCCCACACCTCCCTTCCTACACAGATACTGGAATCCTCTTTCCTTCGTTTTACCCATTTGTGTCACCACCTCTCAGACCTTGTCATGCCCCAAACTGTCCTATCAGCATGAATGTGACTCCTGCTGGAGGCTGTGACTATGCAGACAAGCCAACCAGTCATGCTCCTGTCCCCTGCTGCCAGGGGCTCTGCTGGGTAGGCTCTGCACCGCCCTCACCCCCCACCCCGGGTGGTGCTTCTGCCCTTTACAGGAGCTGGAGATGCCAGTAGAGCTGGGTATGCTCCGGAGGAGGCCATGCCCTGTGAACCTCAAGGATTCATCTATTATTAGGAATGAATGACCAGCGCCAGACCGCCAAGAGGAGGCCCCAGGATCAAATCACAAGTTCAAGCCAGCTTTGAGACCCAGGGCTCGTCCCACCCACTCTCCATTACGTGAAACAAGGCTGCACAGGTGGGGGAGTGACAGCCTTGGGCAACAGCAAGCCAAGAACTTTTAGAAAATGAAGAGCTGTCAACGAGGAGAGACACTGGTTTTATAATAATTGTATATACCTACAGGGACAGCGGGGTGTTCTGATCCATGGACAACATCCTGTGATGATCCAATCAGCACATGCATTTCCTCATGTTCTCCTCTGTGGTGAGAGCATCCACAATCCTCGCTTCCGCTACCCAATACAACACTATTAACAAATGCCACTCTGCAGCTGGTAGAGCACCAGACCCTCCCCAGCCACCTCCATGTCACTTTGTGCCTATTAACCCAGCTCTCCCCAGCACCCCCTATCAGCCCCTCCCCACTCTGGGACTCACTACTCTATTCCCTGCTTCTAAGTCAGCCACCTCTTCCCCTCCCCCCTGAGTGGCGTCGTGCAGTGTTTGTCCTTCTGTGCCTGGCTCATTTCACTTTATATAATGTCCTCCAGGCTCATCAAGTTTGCCACAAATGACAGGATTCCACCCTTTCCTATATGTGAATATGAGTCCATATAATGGTTCATATGTATCACATTCTCTCTTCCCATTCACTGGCTGGTGGATACTTAGATTGAGGCTATAACTTGGCCATGTGCTCCTGTGACTCGTGCTGCAAAGAACATGGGACTGCAGGTGTCTCTTTGACAAACGGACTTCATTTTTTCTGAATATATTCCCAGTAGTGGGATGGCTGGATCATGTTGTTGTTCTTGTTGTTTTTTTTAAGTGGGCAAAAAACCTAAACAGATATTTCTTAAAAGAAGACATGTAAATGAAAAATATTCAACATTGCTAATGATCAGAGTAGTGCAAATCAAAACTGCAATGAGATACCACCTCACATCTGTTAGAATATCTGTGATTAAAAAATAAACAAACAGCTGGGATGCATGCCTAGAGTTCCAGCACCTTAGGAGGCTGAGGCTGGAGGATCACAAATTCAAGGCCAAAATCAGTAACTTAGCAAGACCCTGTTATAAAACAAAACAACAACAGCAACAACAAAAATGAAATATAAAATCATGCTGGTGAAGACCAGGAGAAAGAAGTCATCTCATGTACTGTGGGATGAAGCTGTGGATTATTAACACAGCCATTGCAAGAACAATATGGACACCCTTCAAAAAACTTAAAAGCAGATAATGAGTCGTAAGAGGAGTGATGCTTCCAAATCTTCCTAGGCCATTTCTAGGGAATTCTTTCCTCCATCTTGGATTCCTCTAACTTTACTCCCCCATCACACACCTAGCTGCCTGAACTGTACATTTTTTTTTTCTCTCCTCTAACTTGCACAAGGTTTGATTTTTCTCCATGGCCTCTGTTTCCTCATATTGAAATTTCCCATAACTCATCTCTGAGTCTTCATAAGTGAAATTCAGCTCCTGTACTTGGAACCTTCTCCCTCCCCCAAAACATTTCCCCTTCCCTGGGCTGACTCCCACTCATCTCTCAGGACTCACCTTAGAAATCACCTTCTCTCGGAAGCCTCCCTCAATCCCCTTGGTCCAAGGAAGGGACCCTCTTTTGTACAACCATGTGACCCTCAGACACTACAGATCTGGTCCAGATATGGTCACATGATCCCACTGACTAGTGCCTTTCACCTTGAAGTCTGAGTAACTTGAGCACAGCACCAACAGTTACTGTGAATGCCTGATGTCATAGAGCACTGAGGTCTCCATAGACATTTACCAAATGAATGAATGCACAGATGAATCAAGGGGTTGTAGAAACAATAGACTCATGTCTGCAAAACACTGAGAACATGTGAGTTATCTATGCCTCTCATTTGAACGTGCACACCACAGGACATCAAGGCCTCTGGCACACACACGTGGTATTTGGTATAGTGTACTACGTGCCTCACCACGTCCCTGCAAGGCTGGCAGGAATCATTATTCCATTGTCTTTGTGAGTGGTGGGAGGAAGTATCTGACCCACTCACAGCCACTAAGTCTTTGCTTGGGTGGTTGCCAGGAGGCTGACCCTCTTTTCTGGCTTATTACCCACTTCAAAGGCCAAGCTCAGCAGATGGCCTTGCTTGCTACTTCAAGGAGGGAGCCAGCACTACTGGGGACCATGGGCTCCTCCTCTCCCTCAAGTCTCAGGAGAAGGGCAGCCCCTCCAAAGCTTCAGGGCATTTCCTCCACCTGTGTCTTTCAGCAGCCCTGGGATTGCTGCATCTGCCCAACCTCATGCTTTCCTACCTTGGTTCTTTCCAGATGCCTGTCCACAACTCTGCGTGTTTCCCTTACATATTCTTCCTAGTCAGCTCAATCTTGCACCTGCCTTCTCCACCTGCCCGACCTCTACTTGCCCTTGGAGATCCAACTCAGATACCTCCTCCTCTGTGTAGCCAGCTGCAGTCCCCACTGACAGGTAGTCACTTTCTTCCATGCCTCCAAGAGTAGCACTTGGTAACCTCGATAAGATAGAACATATCAGTTCAATACCACACCAAGGGCCTAATGCCAATGCTTACAGCAGTCTTTTACAGAGAATTTATTTTGTTCCAGGAACTATGCTGGGGACCCCATACACACCTTTCATTGTAATCCTTGACACCAGGTAGGTATTATTTATATCATTATTGCCCCAATTTTTCTTTAACCTGGCAGATAGTAAGAGGATGGTTATAGAAACTTGGGCTTTAGAATCAGAAAGACTAAGTATAATTACCTGAGTTCATCATTTGCCAACAGTATGACCTTAGGAAACAACCTTTTTAAAAATTTTTATTTGTTCTTTTTAGTTATACATGACAGTAGAATGTATTTTGACATATCACATATACGTGGAGTATAACTTCCCATTTTTGTGGTTGTAGATGATATATTCATATATGAACATAGCAAAGTTATGTCCCATTCATTCCACTGTCCTTCCTGTTCTCATCCCCCTCTTTTCCCTTCATTCCCCTTTGCCTAATCCAGTCTACTTCTATTCTTCCCTCCCCTGCCTGCTTATTTTGAGTCAGCATCCACATATCAGAGAGAACATTCAGCCTTTGTTTTTTGGGGGGGGATTGGCTTACTCCACATACCATGATAGTCTCCAGAAACTTTTTTGAGTTTTCTCTCTTATGAAAAGATAATGGATCTCCTTACAGGGCTTGGTGAGGTTAAAATGAGCTTCTTATAGATAGAGTTCTCAATACCTGGAGAACTTGGCAGAGTCTACCCCTCTATAAATGCCCTTATTGAGTCTCAGAAGACAGAGAGCTTATCCAAACCACCTCTTCATACCTAGTGCTTAACACTACACTTAAGTGAATGCTCCTTATAAGTCCCCCCAAAATGTTCCTCACCGCATGGCAGATGGACAGTCCCCAAGTGGTCCCAGGGATTCATGGACTTTCTTAGACCCATCTGGCTTGAACCCTCTCCACTTCTGTTATTTGAGGAATGGCAATGCTGCCTCCGTCCCTTAGACCCGCACATACCTGGATGAGTGCTAGCCACGGCCATGAGCACAAACCTCAGCACCCTGTGACTGAGTTGCTCACACCATAATCAAATCACCCTTCCCTTCAGGCTACTTCATCTCCTGGAACAGTGGGGCCCGGATATGACTCTTCAGGGAGTGCAAGCTCTGAGTTTTCATTGAAGCACTGAACTCCCTGACCAGATTAGACGTCAAATCGTACCTGCACATGGAAGTCAGGACTGAACTAAGAACTGGCTGCCAAGTTGGCACCAGCAAATTGGCCTTCTGGAGCTTCTAGGGACCAGCTGCCAGCTGCCATTGCCTATGGAACACTCGGGTGTTACTCCCAATTTCACTGGGAAATGCCGAAATCAGTCTTCAGAAAATTGCTGCCTTTGGACCTTAGTTTCTGTTTGAATGGGTTTGTAGGGGTTTCAACTGGAGTTACTGTCACCTCAAAAATCAGTAAATAAATGGAGGAAAAGCTCCACCTCTGGGCCAAGAAAACTGCTTGGTGCTTGATGAGGTGGCAGGTGCTTCCTTATAGGAATTGGAAGGTATAGTGAATGTGTTCCTAGTCCCTTCGTAATCGATGGTCACTCGGCTACCTTCTCACGGGGCGGGGTAGAGACGCGGAATCAACACACACAGACTCTGGGAGCTGGTGAGAGAACTGGCTGGAGACCCACCTCAGGTGGTTGTCTCAGTTTATTTTTGGAATGCACACAACAGTTATAGGATTTGAGTGGGGCATGCCTGTCAATCATACATAAGCAAGACAATATCCATAAGCCAATCATCTTCTGCCTCATGTAACTGCACTGTGAGGAAACTCTAAATATTGCTGTCCTAGCAGAAAGCAATCTGGAAGGGTCTTTAGCCCTTACTCAGTCAGGGGTTTCATGCTCTGAAGCCCCTGACTCTCAGTTTCTTGACCGGGCAGTTTGGCAATGCCAACCACAAGTGCTGAGGATGTGGTTTCACCCCATCCTGCAGGAGTTTCTGTCAGGCCTGAAGGAAGGTGGATATTTCAGGCACTTCCAGCTGCTAGTAGCTGCTGAGACTGAAACATATTCCAACAGTATAGGAATAGGAAGTACCTGCCACCTCATCCCCAGGACCTATCTCTATCCCTTCCCAACCTTGTGGTTTTTTGCTCTCTGCTCTCTGGAGGGGTAGCACTTCTGTATGTGGATGGAGTTCTGAGAAATGCAGAAGGAACAGTGCTTGCACCCTGCTGTTGAAGTTGGGCAGAGGTAGGCCTGGGAATCTGTGTTCTGTGCCCATTGCTGCTTGTGGGGCACAGTAGACCTGGGCAAGTTACCTCCCTCACTGGCAGAGCCAGGGGTCCCTCTGTTGTGTCATGTTTCCAGGCCATTGCCCCTCTCACCCGGGCATGGGGGTATGTTCTGGAGAGACAACCAGCAGACACGCTGCTTGCCTTACAAAGCATATTCATGGAGGTGTTGGGCACCATTATTAACGATTTACCATGGGCATAAAGACTCCGTTTTACTGAAGATGTTAAGCAACTTAAAAAGGTAACTGTAATGCAAGCAATTGGAGGGGCCGGCAGGAATTTGAACCTCAGTCGATCTGAGAGAGCTCAAATCCTGAAAGAGGCAGGCCTCCGGGTAGGTTACAGAGCCCCCAGGCGGGCGAATGGATATAGGGATGGGAAGGCCGCCAGACTTGGGGCGGGGTAGTGGTTCTTCCCAACGCAGCTGCCTTCAAGCTGGGCCACCCTCCGGTTCTCTGGAAGGCAGGAGGAGCTCAGAGCTGAGAGCTAAGCGACCTGAGCTTCCATGATGAAGTCAGTCAGCGCCTGAGCAAAATGTCCAGGAAGGAGGGAGGGAAACCAGAGGGAGGAGGAGGCGGCGCTTCTTTCACCCACGTCCCCAGGTCCTCATATATGCCACGTGGGTGGAAGCGTGTCACACACACCCACGCACCCATAGCCATATTTGCCGAGCTCCCGCAGGGGTCTCCGAGGGCCTCTGGGTGCCGGGCCTCCACGGGCCACGTCGCCGCCACCTGCTGCTGTAGCCCCAGCGTAGAACGAGCGCCACCGTGCCTTTCTCTATCCACCCCCGCCCAGTGCGGGGCCCTCATCCTCCAGGGCCAGGATGAAGCCACGTCTTCCCCAGGTTCCCTCCCCAGCGCAGAG